AATCATCTTCTTTAAAAAATTATCAGAATCCCTTTTTACTTTTGATCTTTTTACAAAATTCTCCCTTTTTTCTCAGAATTCTGCCTTATTTTTCAAAATGTCGATTTTATTTGTCAAATTCCTTTTGACTTTTTTCATAATTCTAACTTTTTTCAAAAATCTGGCTTTTAACATTTGAAAATATTATGACTTTTGGGAGAAAAAAAAATCTGACTTTTGGAAAAAAATCTGACTTTTTGAAAAACGTCTGACTTTTTTGCAAGTTTCGATTTATTTTCAGAACTCTCACTTTTTATAAAAATTCTGAGTGGATCAGATGTTATATCTTCTCTGTAACCTGTAATGTTCTGTTCTCTATAATACTTGCAATAAGTGTGAATCTCATCTCCTACTGCCTGAATCTGCTTCATGGGTTTCACTTTCTTTGGTTCATTTGTTCTGTTTTTAATTCAGCAGGTGAACCTATATGTTCATAACATAGTGTGTGTGAGCTTAGCTGTGCTTTATTCTTTGTTAAACTGTAGTATGTGCTCATGTGTTTCATTGTTTGTCTATAGGCTGAATATGCTCAATAAAAGGCAGGTTTTCCTATACATTGATCCTGAATATCTTGGTTTCTTCTTGTCTAAGGTCACATTGTTCTGTTGTAATACACATAAGTAAAAAATATCTTATTGATATTTATTTTCTCTTATTATTATATTTGTTTGCATTGCATTTGATACAGAGGTTATCCAAAAGTGACAATCCTTAATAAATGAAAGGCATATTTTCCTATTAATACAATCATCTTTGATCCTAAATATCTTGGTGTGTACTCAGATTAGGTTGCCGATTATATTTACAGGAAATTAGTAATCGTAACAGAATGTATTTTCCCAACCCTACTGACTCATTCATCATTTAGCATCATCGATGAGACACCATTATCCACTCCTTGGGAGCTTTTAAGAAGCCCCAAAACTTCAGCAAAATCCACAAATCCACCATCACCTGGGCCTCTGGAAAAACATCTGGGGGGAAAGTCGACAATAAACCGTTGATTTACACCAATTAGATAATCTGAACAGGATGGATTCTGGGTAAAGCGCCCGCTCCTGTCAGGTTAAGGTGGGACGGGTTAACGTCTGTCTCCCCCCTTTCTCACCTCCTCATCATCCCTTCAACCCCCCTTCATCTCCCAGGGCTATATATTGGAGGTCGTCTGCATCTTAAGCATCATCACGCAGACATTCGCTGGCAAACACAAACACACACACACACACGTGTCTGTTAGACTGAGCGGACGGAGAGCAGACTCCAGCCATGAGGGTCCTGTTGAAGCTGATCCTGGTTCTGTGTTACGTCCAGAGGGGCGAGGGCCACTCTCTGCCATCGTTGATTGGTGAGTCCTGGGTGGGTTACTTTTTTGTGTTTTTTGTCAATTGTAATTTAGCTTTTTTTTCATCTTTAATATATATATATTTTTTTATCTTTCCTTTTTGTTTTAATGCATGCCACTTAGGTAACATTAAGCTGTCTTTGGCTCAATGGGAATGTCCCCTCTGTGGGACTAATAAAGGTATTCTGATTCTGAAGGGAGGGTCGTGACCTCTGACCGTTTGGCTAAAGTCTTGCTTTGAGAGTAATGTGTTAAATATGGCTTCGAGACACAAATGTAGACTTTTTCGGCGTCTCTAGAAGTTGTTCTGATTGTAAAATACTCGCATCTAAGCTTGATATTAATTTTCTATCAGGGAATTGAACTTTTTGTCATTTGGATTGTCTATGTTGTAACTTTATCGATACACATCTTTTGCACGTCTGTCTGTGCTTTTTTAAAGAGGCCCTATTCTTCTTTTTGGGAGGCTCGCGACCTGTGACCGTTTGGCTAAAATCTTGCTTTGAGAGCACCGGTAATGTGTTAGATATGGCTTATGGAAATAATATATACTTTTTGACTTTTTCGCATCTTAAGAAGTGGTTCTGAGTGTAAATTACCTGCATTTAAGCTTGATATTGTTTGCTTTTTCATATATTTTCTACCAGGGAATTTAACCGTTTTGTCATTTGGATTTGTCTATTTTGTATTTTGTTATCTTTCAAATATAAAAACATACTGCACGTCTGTCCGTTTCCCCTTCCCTGTAGTGTGTTCTATAGGTTTGTGTGCATGTAAATGGTCTGCAAAGGCTTAAATCTCTGCGTTCCTTCGGAGGGAGCTTCTCTCACCCCTGAGATGCCTCCATTGGACTCCTTTGTTTACTTGAACATAGTGACATCACTATGTAACACACTCGCTTCTATTGGCTAGTGCTCCAACACATTGTACGTGATAGGCTAAGGGGCGGGACATGTCTAAGAGGTTGACCAATCACAACAGAGGCGGCCAGCTAACCAATCAGAGCAGACTGGGCTCTGGTTTCAGACAGAGGGTGAAGATGAGCAGAATAGTCCTTTTTTGTTTCTCTCTAAATTGTGTTTTTTTTTACCCGTTACTGTGACGGTCCAAAGACAGTATGCTGTACATAGTGTAAAGCCCCCTGAGACAAATGTGTAATTTGTGATATTACACCCATGGCTGCCCCTGGCCAACTTGTTGCCCTACGTCAGATTGTGTTATGAGGCCCCCCGGGTCTGTACACAACTCTTTTAGTGCCGGAGCCTCGCTGCGGGGAAATTGTGGCGCGCATTCTTGCACCGCATTTGCGCATAAGATGAGGCCCTACGCACTCTGTGTGTTCTGCGTGTAGGGAGGGGCGGCCCTGATTACGCCATATGAATAAAATGTGATTGATTGATTGATTGATTGATTGAATTCTGTTCATAAGATTTGACACTTTCTTCCTTTTCCAGATCACAAACAAGAAACAGCATNGTAGAGCACGCTCGTGAACTTTTAGTGCCGGAGCCTCGCTGCGGGGAAATTGTGGCGCGCATTCTTGCACCGCATTTGCGTGTAGGGAGGGGCGGCCCTGATTACGCCATATGAATAAAATGTGATTGATTGATTGATTTCTGTTCATAAGATTTGACACTTTCTTCCTTTTCCAGATCACAAACAAGAAACAGCATCTTCTTCACACAACGGGGATGAATCTGCTGAAGCTTCTGGACTCGGAGCTTCTGGACTCGGAGCATCTGGACTCGGAGCCTCTGGACTCGGAGCATCTGGACTCGGAGCTTCTGGACTCGGAGCCTCTGGACTCGGAGCTTCTGGACTCGGAGCATCTGGACTCGGAGCATCTGGACTCTTAGCCTCTGAACCCTCCCCCGCTCCCCTCGTCCCGGCCCGGTCTCGCCGCTCCGCCCTGGCCTCACCGTGCGGCCTGCGCTCCGTACTGCTTCAGGTCCGGCACCTGGGCCTCGGCTACGACTCGGACGAGACGGTCCTCTTCAAGTACTGCAGCGGGACGTGCCCTCACGCTCGCAACAACCACGACCTGACGCTCAGCAACCTGCTGCAGAGCGGCGTGCTGCCCGGAGATGTGAGGGAGCACCACCACGCGCCCTGCTGCCGGCCCACGCTGCACGAGGACATCGCCTTCCTCGATAACTCCCACCGCTGGCACAAGGTGGAGAAGCTGTCGGCCGCCGGCTGCAGCTGCGTGGGCTGAGCGTCGGTCATTGAAACGGGGACAAAGGGATGTATTGGGACAATTTGTGAGGATACGTTTGTATCACAGTGTAATGATGAGTTGTATTCCTAAGTGACAGCTGAGACCTGTTCTTGGGAGCTTATTTATGTAAAAATGAATGAGCTAACATCTAAGCTATTTTCCCTCTCACTCATGAGACCTCATGAATCCAGGGTTGGTCCTTTAAAGGTCTCTTATCATGCTATTTGATGATTCAAACGAGGGGAAAGGGATGCATTGGGACCATTTGTGAGGACACATTTAACAAAAAAGTCTTTATTGTGAAATCATGAGATTATCCACAGACCTCTTTGTGGAAAATGTCTTGAAATAGCTATTCTTTAACCCTACTATAAGTTACATCTCCTATCATGCTATTTAGCGTGGGCGTAAAGCCAGTCCATATTTCCGATATTGCGTCATATCAGCAGCAAATCTGGATCAGCTCCGTTGTTCCCCCGTTTGTTGGGATTTGGGTACGGACGAAAAGAGAGAGGGTTTTGTTCTCTGACACACCGGGGACACATATTTATGTATAAAGGACATTGAAAAGTGCATTTTGCCTGATAAGAGACCTGTAAACGGGGGGAAAGGGATGCATTGGGACAATTTGTGAGGATATGTTTGTATCATAGTGTCTGTAAATGATGAGTTGTGTCCCTAAATGACAGCTGAAACCTGTTCTTGGGAGCTTATTTATGTCAAAATGAATGAGCAAACTTCTAAGCTATTTCCCCTCTCACTTGTAGGTGAGACCCCATGAATCCAGGGTTGTTGATTTAAGTGTTCTGACTTCAGCTGGTGATCTAACGGGCCTCAACGGGATTAGAAGTTTACGACCTTTGGCGGTTGCAGGCTTTAAAGAAGTACTCCCAATGCAGAAAATATGGCTCTTTTTTTAGTTCATGAACAGTTTGCAGAGTGAAGGGAGTTTTTCTTGTCTGACGTTGGCAATAAATATATAATCAGTTATTAGAAAAGAGCCCGGCAAATGCAAGCTGCCTTATTACGATACCTAGTTTTCTGACAGAAAGGTGAAACTGAAACGAGACATTATTCAACTACAAGCTACTTGATTGTTTTTGTAAATAAACTGTATTTATTTGGATTCTAAAGTGCAATTGTGGGGTTATTAGACGATGGATTCAATGTACGAAGCTGCGTACAAACAACAAACCCAGCCGAGTGAAGTTCTTTAAAATTCAGACTGATTCTTAAAAAAAATGTATTTATGCAAGATAAGTTATTTATTTATTTGTTGCCATTCTTTTGTTGTGCTGATTAACTTATTTTGTAATATGTTCATTGTGTGTTCAGCTCCTAATAAAGACACATTTGTACAGAACAGTGTTGGTGTTAGTATGATTAGTATAAAGAGAGAAATGACATGAAAAACAGGTTTATTTAACGTTTTGTACAAAAATAGAAGTTTTGCACACAGACAAAAATCAAAGTCGTGTGCAAATAACTATCATCCACTTAAATCCAAATCCAGGTCATGTTTTCTGTACATTTGTGAACCAAAGCCTCTAAAAGGTTGTTTTTACTTTGTAGTTTTTGTATTAAACTATGTTTAGCAATAGCTTCAATCTTAGGAGAATTACATTTTAATGAAGAAATGAACCAATAAGATCATCCAGATATCTGAAGTTATCTAAATCAAAGCAGTAGATTTAAATAACTCACTTCTAGCAAAAAAAATGAAAATGTTTAGTCCAATTAAAAGGTTACAAACACTGCTTTTGAGAGATTTATGTTTTCTGAATATTCTTATTTCTTTCCAACGACGCCTTGTGACTCAAAAACTAAACATGGAAGTAAGAGGTTTTTATGCCACCATGAGGTCGATGGTGTTGAAAGTTGAGTATTTAATTGTTATGATAGAAAATACAATCTTCTCACGATGCAAACTCATATTTCCTCCACCTCTACGTGGCCGTGGCCATGGCGTCCTCCTCCTCCTCCTCCTCCTCCTCAGGCTCCGCCCCCCACACCTGGACACGCCCCTCCATGGCGGTGAGGAGGCGGGTCTCTGTGGGGTGGAAGGACAGTGATTGGACGACAGCTTTCCCCACAGGAAGCTTCAGCGAAAGAGATCCCTGCAGGAAGACACACAACACATGCTTTCAGAACACTAACAATGTGTGTTTCTAACATAAGGTTAGACATTATTTATCAAACATTTGGTGGATAAATGTCTCATTTTGGAGTGAAAATATAAGGATTTGCACTACGAGCCAACTAGCTATTTTTTTGTCAACTTAAGAGGGAGAGTTCACGCCAAAATCAAAAGACATACTTTTCTTACGATACTTTTGTGCTAGTCTTCCTTCTCTCCACTATAATAGAAGTAAATGGCACTCGGCTTGTTGTCAAAGTGGCAAAAACAACATATTTTAAAAAAACTCAGCAAAGTTTTTATTGTGAAATCATGACCTCGTCAAGATCACCCACAGACCTCTTTGTGAAAAATGTCTTAAAATAACTATTCTTAAACCCTACTGTTTATAAGTTAAGGTTGTGTAAAATGCTAAAGGTAACCCATTCTATAAAATGCACTATGAGGCTGAATGAAAGCGTACCTCCACCAGGTCCCAGCAGTACACGTGTCATTTATCTCAAATCTGATTCTGAGTCTCATTTCGGAATACTGCACTAACTAGCTATTTTTTGTGTCAACTTAAAAAGGAGAGTTCACTCTTCTTCCAACTATAGTGCTAGGTCTGCCTTCTCTCCAATATAATAGAAGTAAATGGCACTCAGCTTTTTGTCAAAGGGGCAAAAAAGGACCTGGTCAAGATCACCCACAGACCTCTTTGTGAAAAGTGTCTTGAAATGACTATACTTAAAGGGGACCTATCGTGCAAAATGCACTTTTGTACGTCTTTTATACATGAATATGTGTCCCCGGTGTTCCAGGGAACTCACCAAGAGTCAGAAAACACAACCCTCTCTATTTTCCTCCATACCCAAATCTCTAAAAAAGGGGCTGCAACGGATCTGATACAGACTGATCCAGATTTGAACACTTCTATGACGTCACAGAAGTGGCGCTACGGCTATTGGGCCAACTCCACCAATCAGGAGGAGACAGCCACGGACATTGCCGTTGGAAAGCGCTGGAGACGCTGTAGTACATATGCCAGGCCTGTAGATGGTGCTGTACTCACAGAATCAGCCCATGATGCAAAGACAGTGTTCAATTGAGCGAAATGAGGAATGGCTAAAATGCATGATCTGTTTGGTATTTTGAAAAATAAAAAGTATAAATATGCCTTATATAGGTATGGTCCTACACTATATTATTCAAATATAGCATGATAGGTCCACTTTAAAGTAAGATAATACAACAAAGCTTCATTTGTAAAGGACTTCTCTTTAGGGCTGCACGATTTGGGGAAAAAATCGAATTGCGA